CATTTCCTTTCAGTTTGGTGTAGTGGTTAAGTGTGCAGACTCTAATCTGGGAGAACCAGGTTTGATTCCCCACTCCTCCACTTGCACCTGCTGATGTGACCTTGGGTCAGTTACAAGCTCTGGAACAGCTGTTCCTGAAAGAGCAGTTTGTGTCAGAGTTCTCTCAGCCCCACCCACCTCACAGGGTGTCTGTTGTGGGGAGGGGAAGGGAAAGGAGTTTGTAGCCGCTCTGAGACTCTTCCCAAGCCAATAACCACTTGAAAGGGATTGAACCTCAATGGCCAGATTCACCATTCCATTTCACTTTCCTGGAGTTGTGCTAAAATAATGCACTTCACAAATTACTTCAGTGCCAAAGATAGTTGTTGCCCAACCTTGGAGAGAAGTTGGGTTCCCATGTTTCCAGTATAGTAGGATCACACATTTTCTGCAATGTTTGAGGAATGCATTTTATTACCCTGAGATCCTGGAGGAGCACATGCACTTGGCCATTCACATGTGCATCCTGACCTCTGGGCCTCTTAGGACATGAGTTTTTCTATATGTACATTTAGAGGACATTTTCATAGGGTCGTCATATGTTGAAAATGGCTTGAAGGCACTTACCACACCCACCCACCCAGAGTGCAGATTAGTGGGATATTTTCTCAGAAAAGAACAAGACCATTGCTTTAAAAGAGTCAACTTTTATTAACTACCAAGGGATAGACTGAGGGCAAGACAGAAAGGAAACTTAAAAGGCAGTTAGCAATCGAAACATTTGGCAAGTCCAAATAGTTCAAATACCTACTTTGGTAAATCCTAATTCAACAGTTACTAAAATCTTTGTTAAAGGTCCAATTATGACTCACTCATCGCTAGTCCAAGAGACAGTTGTGTGAGTGTGTGTGGTTCTGAAGATCATGAGAAAAGGAAGACTAAGTGAGAGAGGGAAGAATGAAAGGTAATGCAAGAAGGCTTGGGAACCAGAGAGTTATGTTGGAGAGCTGGACAAAAGGATGCCTGCAGGAACCAGAGAACCACGGGATTTGGGGGAGACAAAGGGAGGCTCCCTGGTAGGAACCAGGAGCAGCGTCAGAGCAATGGGGAGGTGTGTGGGGCTATGGGCCATAGTGAGAGAAAGAGGGAATGATTAAGAAAAAGGGAGAAACTAGTTCTGAGCTACCCAATCCAGAAGAGTGTGCGCAGTCTCCTTAGTGGCAGAAGTAAGTTAGATGGAAAACCTGACCTGAAGTCTATGGCTGAATCCCAGATCTTATATACCTAATTTCCGATCCTTGCGTGTGGGTGAGTGCCCCTTGTGATTGTGGAGTCAAATTAATTTTTCTTATTTGCTAGTTTCAGGATAGAAGAACCTTCTTTGCTTTACCCATATTTGTTTGGGACAAAACTAACAGTGACCTGAGATTAAGCTGACATCCTGATTAACTCAAAAGAATATTTACTTACAGATGTGTTTGGACACAGGAGATGACTTTTTATTCTTATAATTAACCCAGGAAGAGGACTAGGTTACCCTCTTGGGTGTGTTACACATTTAGCTTAAGAAAATCCCTTAATGCCTTCTAAAGAAGAGGAAATTGGATTTATACCCTGCCCAAACCCAGTTCTCCCAGATTAGAGTCTGTGCACGTAACCACTACACCAAACTGGCTCTCAATAGTTGAGAGCCAGTCTGGTGTAGTGGTTAACTGCGCGGACTCTAGTCTGGGAGAACCGGGTTTGATTCCCCACTCCTCCACTTGCACCTGGTTGGATGACCTTGGGCAAGCCGTACTTCTGATAAGAGTTGTTCTTGGGGGGGGGGAGAGCAGTTTCTGTCAGAGCTCTCTCAGCCCCACCTACCTCACAGAGTGTCTGTTGTGGGGAGGGGAAAGGAGTTTGTAAACCATTCTGTGACACCTTTGGCTAGTGAAGGGCGGGGTATAAATCCAATCTCTTCTTCCTTTGTTGTCACAAGCACTAACCATTTCTTGTGACTGGAATCTAAAATAATCCTAGCTAGTCAGGGTGAGGTTTCTCTCAGAAAGGTACCTGGAAACCGGATTTTGACAAATTTTGGCAATTATCAAGCTGTTGCTTTTCCTTGGCCTTTTGGAATCTCTTCTCTGGGTATGAAAAGGGGGGGGGCTTTTAACTATCCCTTTTTCTATTTTGGGGGCAGCCTGAGGCACTAGGTGAGTGAAGAGATGCTGACGTAATGATCTGTCTGAAAACAGGTAGTAGACACTGCCTCAGGAGCAAAGGTCAGCCAAAGTTTCAAAAGCTGTCTTTTGCTATAAATGTTTGAATCACATGCCCTTAGGTAAACCTTTAGATTGTTTAAAAATATCAAATATGTAGAATTGCTTTATGTTTTAGAGCCAGTTTGATGTCGCTGTCCGTAGTGAGGCAGGGAGCTGGAGGACTCAGGTTCGAATCCCCACCCTGCCATGGGTGACCCTGGGCCATCCACCGTCTCAGCCTAACCTACTTCACAGGATAGTTGTTGAGAGGACAGAAGGAAATGAGGTTGTTAAGATGCTTTGGGGAGAAAAGTGTGGCATGACTAAAGCATTTACTAATTTATAAGGTTAATGGCAAATTTGGAGAAACTGATTAGGGCACAACTCAATTAGGCATGAAATTTAGTATATGGAATACATACATTTGTAGAAAAAATGGTTTTGCAGACTTCCCAAATATCCATTCCAGGAAACTTGAACTAATCACAGGCTGCAGTCTTTGGAACTCTCACCTAATCGCTATAAGACGTTCATCTTCAGTCCCACCCTCCAACCACAAATTGGCTCACCCGCTGCAATTATAAAGTATTTATGAACATCCTAATTACTTCACTAAAAATGCCAGCATACCACAGGTTGTTGAGAAGGTGTGCAGAAAAGATGCAACAGAACCACAGTTGCAGTGAAGTATTTGACTTAGTATGTGAATGAGAAGGTGTGCAGAAAAGATGCAACAACAGAACCACAGTAGCAGTGAAGTATTTGACTTAGTATGTGAATTTTGGGTGTGGGAATACATACATTTTGTTTGGTATGTGAAATCATGTGCATGTAAAAGAATACTGAAGACTTAGAAAATAGTACTGCAGCAATACACACTCTAATTTGCCAATAAAGGCTTTGGTTGTAGTCTATTACTTTGGTTGTAGTCTATAACTTACATTTGCCTTGAGAAAAAAAATGTCAGCCAGATGTATGCTTGCAGTGGGTTCTGGGAAACACCACCCCAACTGCATGTTCACCGTTATTCTTGAAATATAAGACAACTTTCTGGGAAGTGCTACCAATAAACAATCCATCCGAACTATACATTTTAGGGAAGTAATGGAAATCTCTGCAAAAATGTATTATACCAAAAGGGTCAGTAGGACTGGGCTTATAGCATTGCTAATGTATCTGGCCTGTAATGGATTTCCATTGACTTATGCTCACCCAAAAGACTACATGGGGAGGGGGGAAGAATACCAGCTCCTGATTCAGTACTTCTAGACTCAGACTCTGCAGTCCAGAAATGTAGAGCATTTATGTCTGCTACAATAATCCACTAGCCCACACAAGATGCACAGACAGTATTCAGACACCTATGATATACATGGGTTGTTGATCAGAAGGTGTACTAAAGTGAGGCAGGTATATCTCTCAAGTTGCTGGCCAGGTAGTTTATGCAGGAAATGGTTACCTGCACATGCAGAAAGACACTGTAGTCCTGTCTCTACCTGCAGGACTTCCTGTGCTCCCAGTTTTCAGCTATCACAAGATATCCCCTATGCAGACTTAAACTGAACAGCTGAAGATTATTGGCAGCAGTAGATTTTTCTCCCTAATTTTGTGAATGGGAACAATTCTTCACTTCCCATAGATGTAATTAGAATTTTGATTTCCAAAAAAATCTTTAAATCTACTGGAATGACACTGAAACAAACTAAATATTAAACCTTGAGGAAGTCTAGTAAGAGGTACAATACACCTGAGGTCAGAATTGATGAACAGCAGGAAAATGTGAGATGAATCCAGCTCCTGGCCTGTAGAAAATCTGCTTCACTAAAGTGTCCAGCAGGAGGAGATCTTTTCATTCTTCCCCATTCAACTAGATCTGTGACAATTAAAGAACAGCCATTCTACTGAAATTTAAAAGGGAGAACTGGGGCCACTCATTTTATTTACATTTTACAAGGCAATAAGAGAATTTTGATACATAGAGATTAGCAGCTCTCAAATGGCACAAGACCACAACTGCTGATAAGCAAGTAGATGGCGCTACATATGCTTAGGATCTGTGCTGTAGATAGGAGTAAATGAACTCCCCCCCGCCATACACACATTACACTTCAGTTACACAATGGAATACCAACCACTAGACATGGCCTTCATTTTTTAATAATGTTTTAGGACCAGGGTACAAAAAAGGTTAATGCATTAATTTCTTTAAAGAACAATAAATGCACTGCAATGAGGATGTTTTACACACACAGAATATATAACTTCTTTATATAATATTAACACAGATATAAAATAAGTTATAACTGTTCCGGCTCTCTCCCCACCCCTCCCCAGTCATATTAGCATTTCAGCATATACAGAGCAACAAGGACTGTAATCTCTCATCCCAGACATCAACAAAAACAAGGGGGAGAGTAAAGGCATAACTTGAACAGAGAGAGAAGGAAACAGCTTGGCCCAGGATCTTCAGAGTGGGTAACGTTTACAATAATTTCCCTCAAAATAATTGTGAATAATTGTTGGGGTGGGGGCTTTGACAGACATACAGAGGGATGCTGGGGAAGTGTGGTGGCTGGCGGAAGCTGCATCTTATTCTTACCCATGCATTCCTTGCTTTCAATAAATGGACGGAACAAGGAAGTGACAGAGAGACTTGCCGTTGTAAATCGTACATATAAATGCAGTGAAAGGCAAGACACTGAACAATGGTTTGGAGCCAGTGCTTTCTTACCCCCACCCCCCCACCCCCACAGCTCAAAATGCCCTCTGGAAGGCAGCACCTGAGTGACGGGAATTTTAAACTGCAGCTGGGGGCGGGGGGGAGAGGAGCAAGAATGGAAAACTCTGTGGGCAGAAATCCTTCTACTCACAGAAATGCTGCACTGGATCCAAGGCATTATTAGTCCAGGCACGGCAAAATGAACATTTGAAGCAGTGTGAGGAGCTTGGCCTAGTTCTAGGGGCAGAAGATGCCAGGAAACACTTGCCTCTACTTTGGTACCTGCCCCGGAGTTTGCTATTATTTCTGTGCAAGAGGCTTGCTAGTCCTACTTGCCTCTCACACTTTCTTTGGCTTGTGCTATCATTTGAGACTGACTAAACTCCAGCTCCACCCTGCTCAAACTGAAATGTCACAGAATCCCAACAGCATTTGCAAGTGGGCAGAGAGATAACTAGAAAAGGATTCAAGGCCCTAAATTGAAATCCAGAGTTTCCAAAACCCTGGGAAGGCCTGCTTCCTTTTCCTCAAAGGTCAAATGTCAAATGCAATGTTAAATACCTGAAAAGGGGGTCTTGTCTGCTATTCTCTCCCCTCCCCCCAAGTTATCCTGAAGACAAAATTGTACCACGAGTAATCAATAAAAACACAGCAGACAGGCAGGAAGACTGAACAGGAACTGAAGACTGTCTCAGAAAAAATAATTTTGGCCATGTAAAAATGCTTTAGATTCAAGTGCAATTTTTAAGCACCACTCTCACCTAGAGGTATGTTTCAGCTCAGGTTTTAGCTTGGGGCCTGTCAGCAATTACAATGCATATCTACAGCTTGGGGACAAATTCAACAAGAATTTCACAAGCCGGGGGCACTTGACTGAATGACAGAAGCCATCGTCGACTGTATCTCTATATAACACAGCCTTTGCCACTCCTTCCATTTCCACCATCAGTTTCCTTTTATATTAACATAGATTGGGAAGCAAGAATCATATATGGGAAGAGTTAATTGCATATCTTCATGAAAAAGAACTGGACATGATTTTTGCATCCAGTTGGTCTTCACACAGAGAAGTCATCATAACTCAAAAGGTGACCTCACAGCTGAAACATACAAGAAGCATATTCCCTTTCCTTCCATTTCCCCCCCTCCCCCAATCTCTTATTAGTAGGCTTATCACTCTGCTAATTTCCTCTTAGTTGGCGGGATGAGATGGGAAGGAAGCTCATTCGGGAGCTCATGACCTTCCAGTTTGACCTTTATGAGATGATTAGCCAAAGCAAATTCCTCATCATCCAGCATCCCATCTTTATCAATGTCAGACAGTTTCCATATCTTGCCCAGCACTGTGTTGGGCAGCTTGGACCTCACCATCTCCTTCTTGGCATTAGCCCCAGTTACCTTCCCATCCACAGGTGACAACGTGTAGAAGATCTCATCATACATGGGCTTGTCCCTTGCCACCACCCACTCTGCATCATCAATTCCTTCTCCTGCCCCTTCGCCGTAGCCGTGTCCAAATGGGCCATGCAGGGTGCCTTCAAAGGCTCCCCCTTTCACCATCTGGACAGGCCTCTGGGACTCTTCCTGGCGCACCAGCACCATGAGCTGTGCAATGTCACTGGCTAGCATATCCTCCACAGCATCCAGCAGTTTACTCTTAAGGGGCTGGAACTTGCTGAAATCTTGAGCCTGCAGCTGCTCCTGAAAGAGAGAGGACAACACACTGTGGTGAGCGCTGTTCCCATTTCATGTACAGACGGAGGTCACAATGAGCCAGGAAGGCACCATCACTGACAGTTTGCAGCTACACACTGAACTCAACTGTTTTGATTCCACCGAATATTCTGACCCCCCTGAATGGGGGCAGGAAAGAAAGAGGTCCAGGAGAGCTTTCTGCTGTCTGCAGTGTGCATTACTGTCTTAAAGAGAAGGCTTTTTCAGAGACTTGAGGCCTGTGTACACCCTTCTTTTGAAAAAGATCTGTGCCAGGGAACCCATCTCCAGATTATGCAATATTAGGTACTAAATTGTGACCAGTGTTCCCTCTAAGCTGTGGAGTCTTGTGAGCAAAAATTCTACTTTGTGAGCTACTGGCATTAAAGTTGTGAGCAAGCGATTCGGCTACTACATAAATCAGTCTGCTCTGGAGACATCCTTCCTGAGCTGAGACAAAAACGGTGAGCTAGCTCACACTAACTCAGCTTAAAGGGAACACTGATTGTGACCTGTACAGATTATGGAAATGTGCTAATATTTTTAAGAATATGATTTTTGGGGGGCCACAGCTGTATCCTGCAACATTTCTGTAGAACCTAAGCACACATCTACAGATTCCCTGACTAGAGGGTCTAAAATGTGGGTCTTCCAACATCATTTCAAGCAGCAGAAAAGTGATGTACCATTCTGATTAATGTTTGGTCAAGAAAAGGCACCACATTATTCTGTCGCATAAGGAAAGGATAATAAGCTACAGGCAATAACTCTACACACCCCAGCATGGTGTAGTGGATACAATACTGGACTAGGTCTGGGGAAACCCAGGTTCACTATGAAGCTCACTGGATGACTTTGGGCCAGTCACTTGGTCATGGCTTAGTGGTAGAGCATCTGCGTGGCATGCAGAAGTTCCCAAATTCAATCTCCAGCATCTCCAGTTAAAAGCTCTAGCAGGAGGTTTTACAAAAGACCTCTGCCTGCAACCTTGAAGAACTGCTGCAAATCTGAATAGACAATACTGACTTTTGCAGAGCAAAAGTATAAGGCAACTCATGTATTCTGACATGAAACTTACTGGATGATTTTGGGCCAGTCACATATCAATCTAACCTACCTCACAAGTTTGTTGTGAGGATAAAATGGAGGAGGAGAATGCTACATAAATCACTTTGAGCTCCCCGGAATTAAAAAAATGTGATGAACAAATCCCCACGTTACCTATTCCTATGGCATCCAAACAGATTTATTGACATTTAAAAACTAGCTTCATCCAAGAGACCAGTTTCTACAGTACTGAGCTTTCTAGACTAAGAGCACTTTCATTCTCTTATTAAAGGATAAAAAAGAATTAAAACGTTTATATCCCATGTTTCCTCTTGGTTCAAGGCAGCTCACAATAATAGTTAAACATCCCCAGCTAAAACCAAAGGTAAAATAGCAGGCCCGAAATCCCTCCCCCTCTCCCGTTTACAAGATGCCTGCTATTCAACCCCTGGTGAACCGGCAGGCCTTGCAGCACCTTCTGAAGCCCCACAAGGAGGGGCCTGCTTTCACCTCTTCATGGAGCCCCTTACACGTAACTAGAGCCATGAGGGGAAAAGCCCAAGCCATAGTCCGTCCTAGACAGGCCACCCTATAAGTCGTGGGAGAGCCAACCGATGGCTGCCTGTTAGCTGTGGCTGGCACACAGGGAGACATGGAAGGCAGTGGGCCTTCCAATATGTAGGTCCTCAATGCTGAAGGGCTTTACAGGTCATATCTAGCACCTTGAATTGAACTCAGAAACAGACTGGCAGCCAGTGAAGTCATTTCAAAATCTGTCATGGTGTTCACCGCAGCTAGCCCAAAAGTCTTTTGTGCTATTTGTTGAAGACCCCCTGCCATCAGCTAAAATAGCTGGTAGGTAAAGCTGTTCAAAGTCTATGTCATGGAACACAGATCTATAGATAAGAACATAAGAGATGCCAATGTTGGATCAGGCCAAAGGCCCATCCAGTCCAACACTCTGTATCACACAGTGGACAGAAATACCAGTGCCATCAGGAGGTCCACCAGTGGGGCCAGGACATTAGAAGCCATCCCACTGTTGACCCCCCCCCAAAGCACCAAGAAGACAGAGCATCACTGGCCCCAGAGTCCCTATGTATACCTTGTGGCTAATAGCCACTGATGGACCTCTGCTCCATATGCTTATCTAATTCCCTTTTGAAGCCATCCATGCTTGTAGCCACCACCACTTCCTGTGGCAGTGAATTCCATGTGTTAATCACTCTTTGGGTGAAAAAGTACTTCCTTCTGTTTTTTCCCCCAACAGGGACAGACATGTTAATAACTAGTTGACTCCCCCCCCCCTCTGAGGCTTTGAAGCAGCCAACAACAACATTTTTTTTAAAAAAAAGTCCCTCACTACTCATTCATGAGGAGTTGGGAAGCAAAGGCTGAATAAGATGCCAAATAGGTGCTAAGACTGAGTGCTGCATTAACATTGTCCTACCATCTTGCAAATGGGGGAGGGGCTTAGTGAACTACTTTCTCATACTGTTACACATTATGTTATGCTGCTCACCAGAGGAAGTTGCCCAATCTTTAAATACTTAAATACAGTGTCTGGAATTGTGAGCAGGCAAGGCAGATCTTTCTACAAACCTGAAAAGGGCCCGAAGTTTGCCAAAAACATTGGGGGCTTTAAAAAAAAAAATACAAAAGTGATAAAGGAACGCCCGTAGCTTTAAGCAACAAGTTCCCTCAGTAAGTGGCTGTTGCTAGGCAACCACAGTATTCCATGGGTCAGTAAAAGGCAGGGGGCCTTTGAGGGAGAACTCATTAGGTCCAAAGCTAGGGTTGCCAGCTCCAGGTTGGGAAGTTTCTGGAGATTTTGTGGCAGAGTCTGAGGAGGGCAGGGTTTGGGGAGGGGATATAATGCCACAGAGTCCACTTTCCAAAGCAGGCATTTTCTCCAGGGGGTCAGATGTCTGGAGTTCACTTGTAATTCTGGGAGATCTCCAGAATTCAACTGAAGATTGGCAACTCTAGGCCTGGCAACAACCTCTGCGTGACTTGATACCACCCAGCTTGCATGACTCAACTAGACCTGGTTGCTTGCTACTGTTCAACAGCAACCACCCAATGAAAGACAGTGTGGTACAGCAGTTAGAGTTTCAGGGCTGGGTCTGGGAGATATAGGTTTGAATCCCCAGCTTGCTGTGGAAGCTCACTGGGTGATTTTGAAGCAGTCACACACTTTCAGCCTAACCTACTGCACTAGGTCATTGTGCAGCTAAAAAGGAGGAGAGGAGAAGAATGTAAGCTGCTGCTTTGGTCCCCCACTGGGGAGAAAGGTGGGGTATAAGTGAAGTAACTAAATAATAAATATAACTGAAGATGGGAGGCAAATAAAAGTTAGGTTGGTGAATGACTGAAATTGGAGACCAGGAGGCAAGTAAAGGGGAAAGAATATGGGGGTTGCCGGGGGAGGGAAAAGGGAAATAGTGTGGGGAGGGGGACACAGGGGAAAGTGAGGCACCCCTTCACAAGTCCTTGAAGTTTCCTTATCATTCAAGTGGGCTTGGTCCAGTGGCTGGCACTACACAATTGGGCCATAGCTGGCTAGGTAAAGGATACTGGGGGGTGGGAGGGAAAGCTTAAGACAGAGGGGCAGATAAAGGCATATTGGCTGTTGAGTGGGAAGGAGACAGGGTTGCCAGCTCCAGGTTAGGAAATTCCTAGAGATTAGGGGGTGCAGCCTGGGGAGGATGGGGTTTGAAGAGGGGAGGGACCTCAGAGAGGTATAATGCCATAGACTCCATCCTCCAAAGCAGCCATTTCCAGGGGAACTGGGGTTGCCAACCTCCAGGTGAGGACTGGGGACCACCTGGAATTACAGCTGCTCTTCTAATGACAGAGGTCAGTTCCCCCCAGAGAAAACGGCAGCTTTGGAGTCTAGATTCTATGGCGTTATACCCTCCTGAGGCTGCTTCCCTCCCCAACCTTGCCTTCCAAGGGCTCCACCCCCAAATTTCCAGGAATTTCCCAACTTGGAGCTGTCAACCCAAAGGGGAACTGAACTCTGTAGTTGGAAAATCCACTGTGATTCTAAGAGATCTCCATGTTGGCAAACCTAGAAAGAGAGAAGGAAGCAGGAAAAGTGGAGAAATCATACGGGGGCTTTCAGGAAAGAGAAAGAGGAAATAGTGGGATGGGGGAAATGAGACGCTTCCCACAAGTCCTTGCATGTTCCCAATTGTATGTGTACAAAAGCCAGGACACCTACTACTGCCTCCCACATAGCTTAGCCTTGCTTCTAAAAATGTTCTTGTCTATTCAGCCTTGAGACTGCTTTACCTCTGCCTGTCCAGTGAAATTGATCTCTCCTCCTTCCCCAAACCTTTATAAGACGTCTCCTTCTGAAACTATGGAGGATATGGACTGTTTCATCTTGAAAGACCTCACTAGTCACTACATATACATCTACCTACCTAGTAGACAGATTTACACATCTGGCAAGTGATGGCTTTTAGCCTATAAAAGCTTATGCCACAATGTGTGTGTTACATTGTTTTAATGAGTCATGGAACTCTGCTTTTATGAACACGTAACTAAAATGGTTCCACTGCATGGAATTTAAGAACTATGGCAAAATGTTTCTTGTACCTGGACCACATTCTCTTGTGGGTTAAAAATATTCCACCTAACCCACCTGCAGAAGAATTCAGCTCTCCTATTCAGAGCTATTATAACAGAGCTGTTTGTCCCAGTTCTCAGATTCCCTACCATATCTGGCACTTACCTGCATCTTTTTCAGATTAGGGAAGTCTCCTGGTGAAATCTGATGCTCCCGCTCAAGCCGTGCATAAATCTCACCCAAGTTGTTCACAAGCTCTTTCTTCTTATTATCTTTTCCAAATACAGATGGCATTTCTTTCTTCAGTGAGCTGATGATGTAAGCATGAACCTAGAAGCATCGAAAAAGGCAACATAATTTTTTTAAAAGTATCAACAGGATAAGTAGAAGAATGTGTTTAGGTATGGTTCAAATGGACAGTCTAAAGATGAGTGAGATAAGAATTGTAAGCATTCATTACTGTGAAATGCCAGAGAAATGAAATGAAGAATGTTTAGTAAATCCTTACAGAGAAAAAAACAAGGAATGAAGTGAAGTACAACCAAGCTAGCACAGAGAGACATTTTAGCCACATTAGATATAGTTAACCACAAATTTACACACCCGTCTGCATGACCTGTTTTCTCACTCACACTGTCACCAGCAAAAGACTTATAGATCAGGGTTTAATTGTGGTTTAGCTAAGGGGAAGGAATCAATTCCAATTTCTCCAAAATCTCCCTTTTATTTCTGAACACCCAGTTAGCTTCAGAAGACATAGCTGTGGTGTCCCCTGAGACATCTGGGCATGCCCCTGGGATAACCCACCTTGGCTAGCCGTGCTCGTTTAATGAGATCGTTCAGTTTCCGAAGTGCTGCGTTGCGAGGAAGACTCTGGATATCTCTGAAGAGGTCTTGCTCCTCTACCTCAAATAGCTTGCGATTATCTGGGATCAGCAGCGGGTGGGACCAGAAGGAACCAATGTAGACCCTGATCACCTCGGGAGTATTGACAATCTTCCCTAAAGACCACATGAGAGCACCATAAACCCTCATAAGCTGCTGTGTCTCAATCTGGTCTGCTTTGTTTAGCACTACCCTCATCTTGTCCTCATGGTTCTTCAGTGCTTTGATGACCTCTGAGAATTCATCTGAGATATCTAGCTTGTGGGCATCAAAGAGGAGAATGATACGGTCCACTCGCTCTGCAAACCACTCCAGGACAGCAGCAAAGTCATAGCCTATTGGGAAAACAAAGAAACAATCCCTTAAAAATATAGGCAATGTCATTCACAGCTGATCTTGAAAACAAAACCAATAGCCATCACATCACTAGCTTTGGAGGGAGACAGTGTCCTGTGGGTTTTCTGAGAGGTGTTCTAGCCTACTTTTAAACTGCATTAAGTCAATTACCTCCTCCTGACCAGCTGATGAAAGCTAAGAAAGCCACTTACAAAATTGCTACCTTTACACAGAAGAGAGACAAGTATATTTCAGCAAGTAGCAACAAGACAAGAAAAGGTAACCCATGAAGGTGGCGATGCTAATGCAAGGGGAGTGGAAGCCTTGATATGCCAGTACCAATGTTCAATAATAATACTTATTATATGGCAATGGGACCACTATGCATAGTTGCATTTATTATCATAGCCTAGATATTTTATGTTGTATTGTAAAATGTACTTTAGGGACAGGAGAAATTGACAAACTAAAAACACATTCTCAGACCTACCTCACCAGCAAAGAAGTCCTTAGCACAGGACACACCTACCACGGCACCAACACCAGACCCATGAAGGTGGCGATGCTAAAGCAAGGGGAGTGAAAGCCTTGATATGCCAGTACCAATGTTTGAGATCAATAATAATACTTATTATATGGCACTGTGTGTAGAATAGCCAGGAGATCCTAAGATTGTCTAGCAGATCCTAGCTTTTTTAGTGTTATGCACCACTAGGTGGTGCGCTGACTTGCTCTGAAGGCAAGAGACACTTCAGAGGTGGTTTGCCATTGTCTTCCTCTGTGTCATGACCTTGGTATTCCTTGGAGGTCACCATTCCAAATACTAGCCAAGGCCGACCCTGCTTAGCTTCCGAGATCTGGCAAGATCGGGCTAGCCTGGGCTATCCAGGTCACGGGTGTTCGAGATCAGGTCACCACTTGTGTCTTTCCATCCTTTTGGTCTAGAGTCTCACAATTTTCAAAATGGCCACATTCTGCCAAGCAGATGAGTATGTTTAACACACCCACCCAGTTTCATTAGGATAACCCTTTTTGCAGAAATGCCTTTCCCCTACAAACATGCTTAGTTAGTAAGATCATAGGAAGTCCTGCTCTAGATACCTCTGACTTTGGCAGAGAAGACTACTCCTGGCTGCTGCCTGTCTCATTGCCAGTCACAGTACCTCATCTGTGGAAACACCTTCCCCAGAAATGTGCACTTAATTTGTATTCTTATCATTTAGGCACCAATGGAAAGATTTTTTCCCATGCCTTAGGCTAGTGAATAGGGGTATGCAAAAAATCCCACCCCCCCAATTCAGGTCTATTGGACCCAAAAAATATTGGTATTCCCGAATACTTATATCAGTTTTGTGTTGGGATTTGGGTAGATATTTGGGAAACCTGAATTTATTTGGCTCCTATACCCCTCCCCCTCTCTATTCCTTCCCCTTCTCTGACAATCATCCCATTCCCGCAGCTTTGCTTATTCCCTTCTCCTGCCACACCTTCTCCATCTCTCTTCTTTCTTCCCCTGCTCCTTCTGTTACTTAGAAGAGAAGATTGGATTTATACCCCGCCCTTCACTACCCAAGGGAGTCTCAGAGTGGCTTACAAACTCCTTTCCCTTCCCCTCCCCACAACAGACACCCTGTGAGGTAGTAGGTGGGGCTGAGAGAGCTCTGACAGAAACTTCTCTTTTTCAAGGACAGCTGTGCCAGAATTATGGCTTGCCCAAGGTCATCCAGCCAGGTGCAAGTGGAGGAGTGGGGAATCAAACCCGGTTCTCCCAGATTAGAGTCCGCGCACTTAACCACTACACCAAACTGTATGTCTCCATCTGGTTTTCTCTCTTTTCCCCTCCTTCCACACCTATTGTCCCTTTTTTCTCTTTCTCCCTCCCCACCCCATTACTGTGTTTCTTTTTCTTCTTTCTCTCCATCAGTTACTCGGATCCTGCCTGCTGCTGGATCCGTCCCTGGCTTGCAGAGCCTGTCTACAGCCGTGGGGTGTAATCTCTCTCTCTCTCATTGCCTGCTTTCTCCAGCCTGCCCTCCCACCAGCCCCGGCCAAGCTTTTAGACCAGAGCACCTCCAAACTTTTCCTCCCAGCCCTGTTGCAGCCCCATCTGCCCAGCACCCTTGCAGGAGGCCACCGCCTGACAGTGACACTGCTGCAGCCAAGTGAATCCATGGGACCTGTTGGAGTGCAAAGACTGGGGCAGAGGAGACTTTGCCCCTGATAGTCCTGCCACTGCTGACTCCATTGCAAGGTCCTGCACTAACCTCTTGCAACCCAGCAGTGGGGGAAGACTGCCCAGCACACCAGCAAAGAGCTGCCCGCAGCTCCACCACCTCTGGACCCTAGAGGCCGGTGAGAAGAGAAAGGGATGGCAGGGCTGGTAGCAGCAGCATTTCACCCCTGTTCTCCCTTCCTTAGTGTTGCTGCCTCACCATCTCAGAGAGTCTGAGAAGAGACAGGGCTGGCAGCAGCCAGAGTTGTGCACAGGTGCTGAGGGGTTTTGGGGGTTAACCCCCCACCCCCCTTCACTGCTGCTGCTACTGATTCCAGACCCAGTGAGGCTCCCAGCCTCTGCTGCCGGGCTGCTGCAGCTTCCTCCACCCCATTGCTGGCACGGCTTTCGATCTCAGCCCGGCGTGGCTCTCAGCCTCTGTTGCTGGGCCCGCTGCAGCTTCTACCCCCCACCCATCACTGGTGCCACTTTTGATCCTGGGCCCGACACATCCAACAGATGATGCATCCAACAGAGGAGGTAGGAGCATTCTCTGCACATGCACAGAGAACACTACTTCACTTTTGGGGAGATTTAAACACCCTTTTTTAAATTTTCAGATTTTTCTGCACACCCAGGGCGTCCCCTGAGTCCATAGAAAAACCTGTTGAGGAAGAGTGTACCCCCATCTGTATATTTAGAATCCCCTGAGTCCATAGAAAAACATAGAAGAGTGTACCCCCATCTGTATATTTAGAAATCTGCATATAGGGGGCACAATTAGATATATAGATATCTATTGTGCAGTTGCTCTATTGGTTACTGATTAGTTTCTGGGTTCAATTCAAGGTATTGACTATCATCTACAAAGCCCTTCTTTGTCTAGGACCCACAAACCTGAAGGACTGCCAATATACTCCCTTAAAATGGGTAAGATCTGCAGCTGCCTCTACCCAAGCATCCTGTGTTGTGGCTCCCACTCTGTGGAATGGCCTGCTTGAGGAGGTCAGGAAGGGTCCACACCTCAGCCTTTCTGAAAAATGTGTAAAATGGAGCTGTTCAGGATATTTTTTAATTCAAAGGACTTGAACAATAGAAAAATGGAATTATTCAGGAGAACTCATTTACAAAAGGAAGCGGATTCATTTATGAACACATGAAGCTGCCTTATACTAAAAGAGAACTTTGGTCCATCAAAGTCAGTATTGTCTACTCAGACTGGCAGAAGCTCTTCAGGGCCTCAGGCCAAAGTCTTTCACATCACCTACTGCTAGATCCTTTTACCTGGAGATGCCGGGGACTGAACCTGGGACCTTCTGCATGCCAAGCAGATGCTCTGCCACTGAGCCATGGCCCCTCCAATGGCACTGTTATGCCATGTCTTCTCATTCCTTTTCCATTGTGTTACATTTTATAATACACCTTGAGTCTCAGCAAGAAAGGCAGTATAAAGAAATAGGAACATGAATAACCTGCAAAGTTCATAGAAGGCTTAGATGGGCAAACAAGAGGCATGCACGGACATCCTACTCAGCCCCATCCCACTCCTGTACAGGTACAAGAGAGAGGATATAGGAATCGCCCTGTCTTTGGAGGAAGTTTACATCAGCAAGCCTGAAAAAAGTTACTGTTGAAATACTACCACCTTAGTAAGTTGTATGTAACCAGTCTAATCAGGAACTCCTACTCCAAACTAAGAGCTGCTTGTTTTTCTTTTGGAGAAATAACTGCCCAGAGGAACACTGTGTGGATATCTTGGCTTTGTAAGCATTTCCGCAACAGTGCATGCCTTACTGCTTTCTCAGCCAAGACAGATGCGGACGTCTGATTTCCAGAACTAACATTTACATTAAGACTAGGCAGAATACTCCTGCTTCCATTTTGCAGGAGTATTTCATTGTAAACCAGAGACCCCAAATCAGATTTCTTTACACTTTTGAACATTAGGGATAATTTCAGTGCTGGCACTACAGACAGTGAAACAAGAACAGAATTATGCTTCAAGGGTGAGCAATTCTTTCAATATTTAAAAACTAGTTCTAGGAACAAACCACCCTTTGTTTACTGGGGAGCAGTCTCTGTACTCTTGGCCAGATTTTTATGGTGTGCATGTTCCACATTTCTCAGCTAGTCAGGAGTCAGGTTCTTAAAATTCTTCAACAACAATTGGAGGTAAATATTACTTATTTTGACTTCTGAAGATAATTGATCAACCTAAGATTAGGCAGTAAAAGATATTCTGGCTTAAGTTACCCAGGCAGGACATTTAATGCTCAAGAAAATACTATTTTTATCATCAATTATGCTACATATTGACTAGCTAAATGGCTTCTACAAACAAACACCACGTGTCCTTTGGTGTGAACAAGTAAATGTTAACATCTGTATTTATGTGCAAATTAGCTGGCCTCAGAAGCCTTTTACATTACATCAGTGCATAAGATGTGATAATTCTCTGACAGTAATAATATTAAATATAACAAGCAGCATAATGCTGCTAATATTTAAAAGTGTCCCAACCACTTAACAGCTCTCTCTAAACCTATGCATAAGATATAAATTTGATTTCATAACTCTTCCTATTTATTTCTCCTTATGCTCCAGCATAGTTTTCCAGTCCTCTGCACCTGATCTTCTGCCTAGATCTTCACCCTTTCCCTAGCTTCACACCTTTTCATTAGCAACAAACTACACTTGGAATTCCCGGGCAAATTTGCCTTGTAGCAAATGCCTTTCTGTAAAAAGATTTCTGCCTGACTTCCTTTAAGAGATTAACTTTTTTTTTTTTAGTTTCGCATTGCTTCTTTTAACTCACAGTTGTTGTCCTTCTTCAAAGAGGTCTGCTGACGAAGAATTTATGCCGGTAATCCGGCTCGATCGGCCACTATAGAGTTGCTTGGCACTTGCCTTCTTCGTGGGAGGAGGTCAAAGCCCAATTCAGCTTCTTCCGAAGCTGGATTACGCCAACCTCACACTCCCTCTAGGGCGCTGCTGCCTGCTTGTCCCCCCCCCCCTCGCTGGGGAGTGATGCGTTGGGCTGTGTATTGCCCAAACTGTCGAAAGTGGCCGTCGCTCGCTTTGCACGATCGCGAAACGCTTCAGTCCTCCATCTTAGCCAGACCGGAAGCCGAACTTGATTAATTCCTAATTCAAAGTGTCAAATCCTAATGGGTTCCTACTGCTCCCCCCCTTACCTTTGCCTTAAAGGCTGTAAGTCCGAGTGCTGTCTTTTAAAGACTGCGCAGAAACTGTCACAGATGCTATTAGAATAAGGAATTATATGCAGATAAAATTTGTATTATGCCAACTGGACAGCACTTCTCCCATTCAGAAACAAGTCTCCTAATGGGAGACAGTGGCAAGCCGGCCACCAAAAGTAACACGGAGTTTTCAAAAGCCAGTTTATTATTGGACAGTTCTTCAAATGCGAGCAATAGAAAGGGTATAGGAGGATGCTTTGGTTTCCCATGAACCTACATGATGACATACTCCATGAAAGGATCAAATTCAGACATAATTGGAGTTTGCGGCACTGTGGCTCCATGGAAGAGCGACTGCTTGGCATAAGTTCCCACCAGGCTCAGCCCCCGGCATTTCTATTTAAAGGGTTTCATCTGGTAAGTATTGGGAAAGATTCCTCTGCTTGCCACCTTAGAGAATGGTGTGAGTGAACTGACCAGTGGCCTGATTTTGTATGAGGCAGCTTTGCATAAAGGCTCACTCAAGTCTTATCTGAACCAGAGGACAACTGCTCCTCCATCCCAAAATCCGCAAAATTTTTTTTTGGGGGGGAGGAGCAGGGGAAATGCATCTTTCTAGCACAAGGCCTTGTTCTTAGGCCATATTTATTACCAGCATAAAAGGTATATGTGGAGATGAAACACTTGAACAGCATGTAGCCCTTTATTGGCCCACCATGAGACAGCCTTGAAATTAAGGATTAGCAGCAAGAACTCAGTGCTGTGCTAATATAAAGCTAGTGCATTGCAGTTATCAGGATTATTGCTTCATCTTGTGGTACAGGGCAGGTATGGCAGCAGTGCTGTGCAGAGAGAGCAGAATGTCTAGCAGCGGCAGCAAACGGAGGAGTTAGTACGCATCAGACAAATGCCTGACAATTCTCTGCCCTCCCCCTATTCATGCACGGTGTGGCTTGACTGACTTGCATGCCCTTGTGTGGTCTCCATTGTATGGGCTGCTGAATACCAGAGGCTGCCAAATCTACATCTGACCAAGAGTCTTGTGACTGAAGCATCTCCATCACAAGACCGCTTTCACTCAAACAAACCAGTTTCTAGTTCTTAGATGTCATTAAGGAAAGTATTTCAACATTCTTAGAGCAGCCATGAAAAGTGTAAAATATAGAAGTGAGAGCAATTATATGAGCCCGAAGACCCACTGAGCAGTACTTTAAGAGTACTATTTAAAAGGGCATAATTTCATTTATGATTGCACTGTTTACTTAACAGCGCACTCCTAAACAGAGATATACTCTTTTAAATACATGGGGTTTGGGATTCCATTGTTAACTGTCTTAGGTTTATATTACTTGACATTTGCCTTTTTAGGTTACTATATGAATCCAGATTCACAGTATCTGTGAATGGCAATCTAGTAAAAGTACTCCTGAGAATAGGCTATGGTGAGGATTAGTCAATTAAATGCCTGTACAGCACTGTATAGCCCATCTCAAAGTGTTTATGAACAAAGCAGCCAACGTTTTAGCAAAGCAGGCAACTGCTGTGGAACAAATACCTCCATATCGGCATCTGTGCCGACTGCTATAACCCACTCCTTTGGCTGGAGAAAATGAAATGAAACACTTGTTAATCAACAAACAGACAATGCAAAAGCAACGATGAAAAGAATTCTCCAAGAGGATGCTTGAAAATGTTTAATGGCATGATTTGCTGGTAGGTCATTCCATAGGTGACATTAATGGGCCAAATCCTTGGCTGGTAAACTTACCCAACAAGGATTTGGCTATAAAGACAGCTGTATCAAACAGTCTCAAAAAAGCTTGCAGAAAAGATTTTAAAGTGTACCTACTTAAATATAAAGGTCCTGAATATCTGAAGGAAGTCTTCAGGGATCATAGTCAATAGGGAGAACTAACCTGCAGACTGCGGTGCTTGACCTGGACAGAGGGCTGTGATGCAAGGAAATCTGCAACGTTCTCCCCCACACCCCTGCCCAGCACGGCATGCCAATGGACTTGGCCAGCATAAATGCAAATTCTATTTCACATGCAAAGATGTGTCATACTCAGCTTAGAACTTTCTTGTCCTTACTGGGGAAGAAGTGGGGGGGGGTCACTAATTTTCTATTTTAATCCTTACAAACTATTTCAGTGCTCCAGGGGTCAAACAGAAAGACAGGGAGAGGGACAGGTGGCCTTATAAGAAGAGGGAACAGCTTGATGAGTTTTGCTACAAGGTATTTTACCTTGCCACTTTCTTCTGCCTTCATAAGGCCCAGACACTACGGGGATCATTAAGAGGTCATAGCCTTCCTCACTGTATACTAAACTAAGTTTTCATGAAGAGCTGGGGTCTCAAACTGAGAAAAGGGCATTTAGGAAGGAAAGCACTAGGCAGGGGAGCAGGAAGCATTCAGAAGGCCAAGGGTTAAGGTAGATTAATGGCTTGCAGGTAAAATTCTGGGCCGTTCCACATAGCTATGCATTTCTGCAGAAACCCAATTGCTGCTGCAGCTGCAAATGCATCACAGTAGCAATGGGGCTTCCCTATGCCAGGTTTCCCCACATTTTCCCCAACACCAGTCGCCATGTGACTATTCCACCATACTATGCCATCAGGGGCTTCAATGAGCCCCCCCCCCTCGGGTTTCAATGATCCCTGGAGAAAAAGTGGGGACAAAGTGCAGAAAAGGCCCATGATGCGGTGGGGAAGCAGGAAAAAAAGTCCTGCTTCCTAACAGCATTGACCCTAGGGCAAATAACCCATATGGAAAAGGTCCCAATTTGGCTGGACGAACATTTGTTATAGTAAAGTTTAAAAGAAATATAGTCTTAAAATTTTTTATGCCAGCTCCCAGATCACTGGCTATTTTCCACATGGTACTAAAAACTGTCTTTACATAATTGCATACTTTAGCTCTGCACATGAAGGAATTATATTATGTTTATCCAGCACATTGGCATATCAATATGGAATTCTTACTGCACTAAACTACAAAGCCTTTGAACAAGATATTCCAAGATGCTACCTAAGTCCGGACCACCACCATAAACTTTTCACTACTGCCTCCTTAAAGCTGCATAGCATAGCACTGCACCCATACATATCCAACATCAGTATCTAATCCAGTTTGCTATTAGCTATTCAATTAGATTCACTGGCCTGCTTGATTTCATTTACAGAATTTTAGAGATGTTTATAGAGTAATACAAACTTTTACAGGCCTCAGAACAAATCCATCAGCAGTGACTAGGCCAAGCAAGACCCTGCTTGTGTGACAGCACTCAACTCGGCAGGCAGCTTAGCTGCATCTCTCAGCTACAGCTATATTTCAGCATAGCCGTCCAAGGAGAAAGAGGTGATATACTCAAGCACAGAAATCACGTTGAAGAAATGGAAGCAAACAATGCATCCTAAATTAACATGGGGTTTTGCCTAGCTTTGGTTTCCAGACATCCATATCTGGATTAAGCAACAGACGTATGCAAATAAGCCACACTATCATTTCATACTTAAGAGGGTGGACTGGACATTTGGGGGGGAAATGCCTGCCCACTGAACATAGCACATCAGGAAGGCACTCACTTTACCCATGTGCTGGGTATAATACAAAGCAGAATAGTTCAGGAGGGCTTTTTGCAGTGGATGGCCTATTTTCCTGGGTCCGTGTTCGTCTTGCAGTCTGGCCAAATGGGCTTGTATTTTATCACCACAACCTGCCTTGAGTACATTTATTCAAGAAAGGTGGTCTAAAAACAGTTTAAATAAGCAAAAAGTCTTTACTCCAACAAGCTATTTAGGCATACAGATGGTTGTTCAAACTTGGGAGCATTCAGAAGTACTCTACCTGCTTGAAGCAGTACAACACTTACTTCTAAATTCTACTTGATCAAGATGCAGACATATCATCCCCCTTCGAGAGCAATTACAAAATTTCACAGGCCATTCCAAAGCAAGGCCCGTGACTAACCAATACCATCCTGAGAAAGCTCTCAGGAATACCTACTTGACTTCTGTGCATGTAAGATTTGAAACAGGCTTTAAGCCAAACCCAGACAAATGCGCCCTTCTCCCATAATTAGAAGCTTCCTTCCCTTTACCTCGGCTAATTCTTTGTTTCTCCCCAGAAAGGATTCCTGGAGTATCAATAATGCTGATGCTTTCTAGTACCGGATTTGGCAGTTGAGCACATACAAATCTAAAAGGAGGAAAAAAACAAGAAAATGAAATGACATCTGAGGAACGTGGATAACATTTTGAATAGTCTATGCCTCTTCCCATCAATTACCTTCAAAACTCACCATAAAGCATTTTGGACATTGACTGTTTGCCAGACAGTCAGTGTTTGAAACCACTGTTTGACATCAGGTGAAATTTAATTTCCGTATTTGACAGGCAATCTACAAGGCTATTTAGTAGTTGACAACTATTGCTGGAGTCTGACAGAACACTTAACAGTTCTCTTGGTTTGTTTACTCAGGTGTCAAATATGAAATGCCCTGTGTTGTCATGGTGAAAGCCCTCCCCATCTCAGCATCAGATTTTGAACTCAACATTTAAATTTGTGATTGTGTGTTTTCCATGATATATCACTGGAATTGGAGCACACAAAATACTAGAAATTCCAACGTGTTATTGTTTTTCTAATGATGTCTGTGTATTTACTCATTCATGAAAAGATCTAGCACCATCAGTGTCACTTTCATATGGGAACAAGAGGGCTGGGAAAGAGCTTGTAGGTCCTCTACCAGCCCAGGTCCAGGCCTCAAGGCAGGCATTTCCAAAACAGTCCAGTCTACACCATCCAACTTATTTGTTGTTGTTGTTGTTCAGTCGCACAGTAGAGTCCGACTCACACGACCCCATTGACCAGATCCCGCCAGGCCCTCCTGTCTTCCGCCGTCCTCTGAGGTTTGCTCAATTTCATGTTCGTTGCATCTATGACACTTGTCTAACCATCTCATCCTTTGCCGTCCCCGTCTTCTTTGACCTTCAATCTTTCCCAGCATCAGGGTCTTCTCCAGGGAGTGCTCCCTTCTCATTTGGTGGCCAGAGTATTTGAGCTTCAGTTTATAGAAGACTAAAAACCTGAGACAAGGCTAAACTAAGCAGGAAGAGCTGTCGCACAAATCTGAAAAGTGATTATAGGTAAGTAGAGGTGACTGACGCCAGCGCCAGCCAGTACAGGCAAAGGCAACCTTCCACATCTGCTTAGTTCTCACCAACATGGGTGGAACTGCAGACTATGGGTAGGGGCTTTCAGGATAGAATGTTCGCTCATGCCAAGCTGAATTCCTCCCCAACCCCCAAATGCCAAACGAAATACCTGTTCAGTGGACCTACACTGAGATGGATCCTGCGTATGTAAAGTTCTCCCACCCCATTGAAATCGGCCTATTGCATCAGATACCCTTTCACTGAGCGGGATCTAGTGTCTTGGAAAGATTACTATGATTAATGAATTGTTTAAACAAATTAAATGTAGGTTTTATACTGACAAGTCCATGCCTCATAAATGATGTCTGTTTAGGAGATTTCCCCCCCTCCCCAAGGGTTACTTTAGGTTTCTCAGCAAGTGTATTTGTTTTTCCTTCTTTTAAGCATTCCCCTGCAGGAGCCTGACCTCCACAAACTCAGCCAGTTAGCATCTGGAAAACAGCACTGTGCTAATTAAATTCCAGAAAAAACAAAAGTGGCACATTTGGCTCTGAAGTTAAAACAAAACAAAACACATATCTCCCGGTGCAATGCCTGAAAAGTGCACCCCAAAGGAACAAACAAATACACTGTGCAGACTCTAAGACAGGGGTGTCAAATATAAGGCCCAGGGGCCAGAACCGGCCCATCCAGGGCCCTTACCCAACCCACAAGCAACTGGTATGCATGGAACTATAAAGTACTCCCCCTTTTATGGTATCCCTTTGGGAAAAACCTAGTCTTGTATATAATTAAACGCATTTATTGGGGCTTTTATGGGTTTCCCAGTAAATCAATTGCTTTCACTGCTAAAAATCAATTCCTTTTGTTTGTATTTTGAGTAAAAAATAATATTGTTAACTGGGTTTACATGTGTCCTTTATAAAATTTATATGCCCAGTACCTGGCATTACATTTTATGGCACAGATGGCCCAGCCCGACAGAGTGTCATTTATGTCAGATCCGGCCCGTGTAACAAATGTGTTCGATGCCTCTGCTCTAAGAGAGCAGGCTTCTTCTGTGCCGGGACAAATCTGATGATATGCCTGCAAGTAGCCACTTAGGCAGTTTTCATTTCTGATCAGGATACTGCAAAGCTCCAAGTCACTCTTGCAAAAATAACCTCAGACTGGAATACCTGCACATGTTTAAAGTAAGATCCATGACTGAGTTTTCACTGAACATGTATCAGGAATGAAGGAAAATTCCTTTTAGAGAAACTGTACACTGCTGCCACCTTTGCTGCCAGTAAAGTTTTTAATAATGGCAAAGACGAAGCAGTTCTGTACCATTTCCATACAGGCAGGGGTCTTGTTGTAGAAAAAGAGCTGCCGGAGCTCATTAGCATAACTCATTAGCATAACTTATTTGCATATGCCACGCCCCCTGACATCACCGGAAGTGACAGAAGGCCACACCCCCTGACATCACCGGAAGTGTGTCAGAAGGCCCGGCTACTTACCCTCCTGCTTCATCCTCATTCCCAAACGGAATGAGGATCGAAGCAGAGGGCGGGGTAAAGAAGGGGGCGGGGCTTCACCATGTGACTGCCCCACCCCCTAGAGGTTCTCTTCCGGAGCTCCGTACCTGAGAGCTCCCCCCCGACTAGAGCCCGCTAGGGAAAACGGGCCACATAGATGCTTGCCTTACAAACGCTTCAGTGCTTGATCTTAATCCCACCCCCACCCCAATGTTAAAATGCAAGCGTTTGCTGCATTTCCATAGAGAATAAAATTTGCCTTTCTGCCGCTTGGCAATTGTGGCTTGTAGCTGTAACTGGCGCTCGCCTGCGACTTGTAGCTGTAACTGAGAGCCAGCTTGGTGCACTGGTTAAGAGTGGTGGACTCTAACTGCCTAGTTATTTGGATGAAGCATACTTGGTATGCTAAGCAAGCCAATCTCCCCCAGTTCCGCATTCTCAAAAGTGAAAGTCTGTGTGTTCAGCTTCATTCACCTGAGGGGCAGGGGCTGATCAACCCTTGCACGCACCGTCCATATATCTATATCGCTAACTGAACGGCTTGTAGACCACTGGCTCTCTCTATAGACTCAGCTAGGGCAGATACACTGCTAAGCAACCCAGAACACTCGGGTCCAATCCCAGGGGAAATGGGAAGTGTGAAGACCATTGCAGCTGAGCCCCGGGGGAAGGGAAGGAGTGAAACCAGAGCAGTGAATGGAGGAAGAAGAGTTGGTTTCATACCCCATTTCACTACCTGAAGGAGTCTCAGAGCAGCTTACAATCACCTTCCCTTCCTCTCTCCACAACAGACACCCTGTGAGGTAGGTGGGGCTGAGAAAGCTCTGAAAGAACTGTGACTGATCCAAGGTCACCCAGCTGGCTTTATGTGGAGGAGTGGGGAACCAGACCCGGTTCCCCAGATAAAGTCCACCGCTCTTAACCATTACACCAAGCTGGCTCTCAGTTACAGCTACAAGCCACAATTGCCAATTATGTCCAAAGACATAATTTCAGCTCATCCCTCCTGTTATTCTGTCTGACAAGCAGGGGCATGACATTTCAAGAACATTTGCCTTGTTGGATTCTGAGGCCAGAACAGAATACTTGGGCTATTCCTGATACAGATTCTTACTTTGCATTCTCTACATTTTAGAGCTGGAAATTCCCACATCTGCAATCCATCCTCAGCCAGCACCTTCCTTTCTGCTCTCAAACATACATGATGACTTTGGTCACAACTCACATAAAGTAACTTAAGCCACTTTTCAACCGAAGACTAGAGCTGAACTGGAAGGAGGAAGTGCAAAAGGAATTTCACAGAATTATACAGCCGTCAGAATATATTTGGGGTCAAGGAGAAGCTCTCCTCAATTCACACTGGATAGGTAAGCCAGGATAGGTTTTTTGCATCCCCTTAGGTCCCTCTCAGGACTGACTTCCACCTATTGTTCTGTCAACTATTTCTGTCATACACAAACTGCAAGAACCAACTGGCACCTGGATTATGTAGGCAGAATGGTGTTTTCTGTGGGTGTGTCTGGTGGACAACTAAACCCTCACACCAGATTAAAGGGATTGGGTATATAGCACAGAAACGCCAAGAGCAAAGAGCAAGGCACAGAAGGCATTTTACTGTGCTCTCCCCTGGCATGGTATGCATAGATACACAGATAGGAAGCTGTGTTTCATTTTTAATCACTAAAAGAGACAGGAAACTGACAGTGAAACAGGATTTTAATACCTTCTTGCTCCAGACAAGGCTCCTGAGGGCTAACTCAAGCACCCAAAGACTCCCCCGTTAGCTCCCTCTCATACCATCCACACCAAACATTAGATGAATGTAAATCATGACAGTTTGGTTCACTGGGGCGCTCGCCTGCGACTTGTAGCTGTAACTGAGAGCCAGCTTGGTGCACTGGTTAAGAGTGGTGGACTCTAACTGCCTAGTTATTTGGATGAAGCATACTTGGTATGCTAAGCAAGCCAATCTCCCCCAGTTCCGCATTCTCAAAAGTGAAAGTCTGTGTGTTCAGCTTCATTCACCTGAGGGGCAGGGGCTGATCAACCCTTGCACGCACCGTCCATATATCTATATCGCTAACTGAACGGCTTGTAGACCACTGGCTCTCTCTATAGACTCAGCTAGGGCAGATACACTGCTAAGCAACCCAGAACACTCAGGTCCAATCCCAGGGGAAATGGGAAGTGTGAAGACCATTGCAGCTGAGCCCTGGGGGAAGGGAAGGAGTGAAACCAGAGTAGTGAATGGAGGAAGAAGAGTTGGTTTTATACCCCACTTCACTCCCTGAAGGAGTCTCAGAGCAGCTTACAATCACCTTCCCTTCCTCTCTCCACAACAGACACCCTGTGAGGTAGGTGGGGCTGAGAAAGCTCTGAAAGAACTGTGACTGATCCAAGGTCACCCAGCTGGCTTTATGTGGAGGAGTGGGGAACCAGACCCGGTTCCCCAGATAAAGTCCACCGCTCTTAACCATTACACCAAGCTGGCTCTCAGTTACAGCTACAAGCCACAATTGCCAATTATGTCCAAAGACATAATTTCAGCTCATCCCTCCTGTTATTCTGTCTGACAAGCAGGGGCATGACATTTCAAGAACATTTGCCTTGTTGGATTCTGAGGCCAGAGCAGAATACTTGGGCTATTCCTGATACAGATTCTTACTTTGCATTCTCTACATTTTAGAGCTGGAAATTCCCACATCTGCAATCCATCCTCAGCCAGCACCTTCCTTTCTGCTCTCAAACATACATGATGACTTTGGTCACAACTCACATAAAGTAACTTAAGCCACTTTTCAACCAAAGACTAGAGCTGAACTGGAAGGAGGAAGTGCAAAAGGAATTTCACAGAATTATACAGCCGTCAGAATATATTTGGGGTCAAGGAGAAGCTCTCCTCAATTCACACTGGATAGGTAAGCCAGGATAGGTTTTTTGCATCCCCTTAGGTCCCTCTCAGGAGTGACTTCCACCTATTGCTCTGTCAACTATTTCTGTCATACACAAACCGCAAGAACCAACTGGCACCTGGATTATGTAGGCAGAATGGTGTTTTCTGTGGGTGTGTCTGGTGGACAACTAAACCCTCACACCAGATTAAAGGGATTGGGTATATAGCACAGAAACGCCAAGAGCAAAGAGGGCATTTTACTCTGCTCTCCCCTGGCATGGTATGCATAGATACACAGATAGGAAGCTGTGTTTCATTTTTAATCACTGAAAGAGACAGGAAACTGACAGTGAAACAGGATTTTAATACCTTCTTGCTCCAGACAAGGCTCCTGAGGGCTAACTCAAGCACCCAAAGACTCCCCCGTTAGCTCCCTCTCATACCATCCACACCAAACATTAGATGAATGTAAATCATGACAGTTTGGTTCACTGGGCATCTTGGGGGAGAGGGGACCAGACTCTTTGGAATTTGTCCCCCTAGTCTTCCCACTTTTGGTGGCCACTGGGTCCAGGCTTATTACTCAGGCTACAGGCTCCTGCCTTGGAGAAACAGGGCCTCGTTCTTGGTCTGTGGCCACCCACAAATCTATACCATGGGCCACAGCTAGGCCCTTCCTTGCGCCAGGACCCCGCCTGAGTTCAGCCCATCCAAACTCCTCACCCTCATGGATCATCAGGCTCTGCATTCCTACAAACACATCGGCTATTGCTGAAAAAGTCATCTCCCTTTACACCCCAACGTCTTCTGAGAGAATAATCGTGAAGATGCTCAAAACCAGACTTCTTGCCAGCTAGTGGCACACCACGGCGGACTGGGCTGAGTAGGGCAGAGCCCCAACTGACAAAGCACTGCTTCTTTGCGTAGAAGGCCAGCTCTCAGCAGCTTCTTCTGAACAGCACTGTGGCTTCTCCCTCTCAGCAGTGGTGGCAGGGCCAAGTGACAGGACAAACGCATATGGAGCAGATGTGCAGGCTGTAGTGCTGTGCAATGTTCCCTCTAAGCTGTAGAGTCCTTAATTCCACTTTGTGAGCTACTGGCATTAGAACTGTGAGTAAGTTATTTGGCTACTGCATACATTAGTTTGCTATGGAGCCCTCCTTCCTGAGCTAAGACAAAAACGTGTGAGCCGGAGGCTAAAAAACTGTGAGCCAGCTCACACTAACTCAGCTTAGAGGGAACCCTGGTGCTGTGCTCCCTTCCCTATTCTTCACCCATTTTCACCTGGTACTCTGACATTTCGATGTGTTTCTAGAGCTACTTTCATGAGTTGTAAAAGCAAAACCTGCACACTTTGCCTCCCAAGCTTGCTGCTAAGTTTGGGCTTTAATGGAGGAGCAACAGGTCAGATCCATTTTAGTTATTTGCAAGTCACCCTTAAGGGCTCTTGAAGTTTACTGAAGTGCTTGAAAGCAGAGGAAACCAGGCTACCCTTATAGCAGGATTTGGTTTTCCTGAACAAAATATTCATGGAATCTAGATTTTATCTGGTTCTAACCCAAGGACCTGGATGCATCTCAAAGTATCAGGGAGCTCTATACTGACCTGTTCAAGAAGGCATTGCCAAAGGCATTGAGTTTCCTGAACGGCTTTTTAGGATCCACTACCAGTGCGTTTCCAGGAATGATACCTTCCACATCCCCCTGCATCACTGCAATGAAGGAATCAGTCGTAGGCTCCGGCCCAATCCTCATTCCAGGGAAATCTTGTTCAAGAAGGTACCTAAGGAAAAAAAACACAAAGCATAAGAGGTGCCACATGCTCTGTCTAGCTGTAGGTCTGCTGTCCATAGTGAAATTCATTTCCTGTTATGAGGAAGCTTGCAGGCACTATTAGATGTGCAGTATTTTCAGCCTCTTTTCTCTGAACCAGGAACAGTACTCTTAAAAATAAAATAAAATAATAAAAACATAATTCATATACCTAAACAAAATGTTTTAAATTGCTTCCAGAAATGTGGAGTGGAAAAATTCCCATTTATTGTGCGGTGACTCCTTCATCACATCACCTGCAGAGGTTTTAACAGCATGGAAAGCTGATCTTACCACGTGGCAAACTGAGCCAGCAGGCGGGAAGCAGAAGTGACAGCCAGCCTGCCCTGTGCACAGTTAGTGGTGTTAAGGGCCCGGGGCCATTTAGGACATACCCAGTATGTTGGACAGCGTAGAAGAAAGCATTTCCCAAAATTCAAGACAGGTCACCCAGTCTTTCTCCAGATAATTATTTAACACAGAAAAATAAACCTCCTTGTATAGGGTAAAACAACCTCACACACACACACACCGAATTGTTTTGCTTCCCATATGGGCACTTGTCCTGATGTGCTGGAATGCTTGAGTAAACGTATCCTCAAGGAAGTCACACAGCTTGCCATATTAAATGTATTAAACATACAAGAGGTTATGGACCACACAATCATCACCCTGAGTTGTGCCCAGAACAGAAAGCCAGCGCAGACACACAATCTACACTCAGGAACGCAAGCCGAGACCTGGCTCCACCAGATAAAAGTGGCTGGCATGACAGCATCACACAACCAAATGAATATTCTAGCCTTTCAAGAGGTACTCATTATACTGATAAGACCTTGCTGAACTTTGCACAGCCAGCTTTTAAAGACTCCTTTCTTGAATGTTTTCAAAAGAACATAAGAGACGCCAATGTTGGATCAGGCCAAAGGCCTATCTAGTCCAACACTCTGTCACACAGTGGCCAAAAATACCAGGTGTCATCAGGAGGCCCACCAGTGGGGCCAGGACATTAGAAGCCCTCCCACTGTTGACCCCGCCCAAGCACCAAGAAGAAAGAGCATCACTTGCCCTAGAGTCCCTATCTATACCTTCTGGCTAATAGCCACTGATGGACCTCTGCTCCATATGCTTATCTAATTCCCTTCTGAAGCCGCCCATGCTTGTAGCTGCCACCATTTCCTGTGGCAGTGAATTCCATGTGTTAATCACTCTTTGGGTGAAGAAGTACTTCCTTTTATCCGTTCTAACCCGACCACTCAGCAATTTCATTGAGTGCTCATGAGTTCTTGTATTGTGAGAAAGGGAGAAAAGTACTTCTTTCTTGACCTGCTCTATCCCATGCATAATCTTATAAACCTTAATCATGTCACCCCTCAGTCGTCATTTCTCCAAGCAAAAGAGCCCTAAGCGCTTTAACCTTTCCTCATAGGGAAAGTGTTCCAACACTTTTATAATTCGAGTTGCCCTTTTCTGCACTTTTTCCAAAGCTATAATATCCTTTTTAAGGTGTGGTGACCAGAACTGCACACAGTATTCCATATGAGATCTCACCATTGATTTATATAGGGCAATTATGATACTGGCTGATTTGTTTTCAGTACCCTTCCTAATAATCCCCAGCATAGCATTGGCCTTTTTTATTGCAGTCACACACTGTCTCGACATTTTCAGTGAGTTATCTACTACAACTCCAAGATCTCTCTCTTGATCAGTCTCTGCCAGTTCAGACCCCATCAACGTGTATTTATATTTAGGATTTTTGGCTCCAATGTGCATCACCTTGCACTTGGCCACATTGAACCCCATTTGCCATGTTGACGCCCACTCGCCCATCCTTGACAGATCCCCTTGGAGTGCCTCACAATCCTCACTGGTTTTCACCACCCTGAACAACTTCGTATCATCCGCAAATTTAGCCACTTCACTGCTTACTCCCAACTCCAAATCATTAATGAACAAGTTAAAAAGCAGTGGACCAAGTACTGATCCCTGCGGTACCCCACTGCTTACCACCCTCCACTGAGAAAATTGCCCATTTATACTCACTCTGTTTTCTATTAATTAACCAGTTTTTGATCCATAAAAGGACTTGTCCTTTTATCCCATGATTTTTGAGCTTACTTAGGAGCCTTTGATGAGGAACTTTATTAAGAGCTTTCTGGAAGTCCAGGTAAACAATATCTATTGGATCCCCGATGTCCACATGTTTGTTCACCCCCTCAAAGAACACTAACAGGTTAGTGAGACAAGATCTTCCCTTACAGAACCCATGCTGAGTCTGCCTCAATAGGATTTGTTCATCTATGTGCCTACTAATTCTTTCCTTAATAATGGTTTCCACCAATTTATCCGGTATCGACGTCAGACTGACTGGCCTGTAATTTCCCGGATCTCCTCTGTAACCCTTTTCAAAGATGGGAGTGACATTAGCTACCTTCCAGCTGACGAGCTACAGTCTCATTACAACTAAAAGAATTCTCCCATCACCACACACACATCACCCTAAAAGAGGAAATTCCTAGACTGATTTTCTGACAATGGTCACTAGTGTCCTGTGCCTGGGAACAAGCAGTTCACAAGGCAGAGGTGAAGGGGAGAGAAAGTTCCAGTTTATTTATTTCATTTATACCCACAGGGTTGCCAAATCTTCTCCTTCCAACCAGCAGGGAATGGTGGGGCCTTAACAGGAGCAGGAGGGAGACCATGGCTACATTGCCAGCAACATGGCAACACCACTTTCTGCGTGTACCAGAAATGACATCATCACTAGGGTTGCCAGGCCCTAAGCTCTCACCAGCAGGAGTTGGGAGGGAGCTTCCCAGGAGTGGGGGGGGGGATGAAGCGACTTCACTGCATATGACGTCCTCCACGTCACGGGGACATCATATGCCTATACTCTGGTATTTTGGGCAAAACTCCGTGGGCAAAATGCCAACTTGTGGCTGCTGGGGGCAGGGCTCCCCCCACTGGCCACCTAGCCGGTGGTGGGCAGGAACCCACAAAATTGGGGGATACCCCACTCCCACCTTGGGGCTGGCAACCCTAGTCATCACATTGGAATGTCCCAGCGATACTCTGGTATTTGGGCAAAAAGTACAGTAGAAGTTTCTACCATAGAGTCTTTGCCCAAATAGCAGAGTCACCCAGATATGGCTGACATGATGATGTAACTTCTGGTACATACCAGAAGTAACATCACCACATTACCAACGAGGCAGCCTGGGCCCTCCTTCCTGCTCCTGGCAACCCTAATACCCCACCTTTCCCCCCAACAGAGACCCCAAACAGCTTACATTGTTCTCCTCTCTTCCATCCTGATAACAACGCCATGAGGTAGATTAGGCTAAAAGTGTGTGTTGGCCGAAGGTCACCTAGGAAGCTTCCATGGCAGAGTGGGGATTTGAACCTGGATCTCCCAGATCTTAGACTAGGGCTACCACTTCCCAGATGGGGGCGGGGGATCCCCCACTTTCACGGGCTCCTGCTTGCCAGCAGCCAGCTAACCAACAGAAGGAAATCTCCCCCACCTCCAAACAACAACGTTGTGTGTGATGCACTGACGCCACCCAGAAGTGACATAGGTGTGTTAGTGACACTGGGGGTGACAGTCTGGTTTTTGGGCAAAACTCTGTGGTTTGAGGGCGATTTTACCGGAGTTTTGCCCAAAAACCAGAGCATCACCCCCAACATCACTTGTGTGCCTATGTCACTTCCAAGTGAAGTGTGCATGTTGCGTGACATCCCCCCCCCACTCCTGGAACACCCCCCCAATCCCCCCGCCAACGCGACGATCAGACCTGGCAACCCTAGCTTAGACCAACACTCTAAACCAGTACACCATGTTGGTTCTCCAGTGAGGGCTGAGGGAAACGAGCTGCTTGGCACCATTCTCCACTGTGTCTGGGGTGGCCAACTCTGGGTTGAGAAATTCCTGACGTTTTGGGGGCAGAGACTGGGGGAGGTGGGTACAATGCCATAGAGTCCATGCTCCAAAGCAGCTATTTTATCCAGGAGAATTCTTCTCTGTTGTCTGGAGAACAGCTGTAGATCTAGGAGATATCCAGGCCCCACATGGAGGTTGATAACCTTACATGGAACCATGAAATAATTTGTCGGGTAGAAAATGACTGACTGACTTGATCCATGTCTTGTCAGATGTTTGGTGCTGTTCGTTGTATGGGAGAGAGGCTGAAGTTTTCTTTTCTTTACGCTAAGCTGCCTTGGGTCCTGCTTTGCAGGAGAGAGGTGGGGTAAAATAAAATAAAGGTTGAGAAAGGTCACCAGTACTTGGGAGACGAGTCTTTGTGATAAAAACTAGCAAACGTTCCACCACTAGCGTTGCTGTCTCCGGGCTGGAAAATTTCCAGAGATCAGAGGATAGAGTTCACTTCTGGCAACAGGCCACATTTCCGTCTTCATGCTTGAAGAATCTTCATGCTTTACAACAGCAGTAATTTTGCCATATGTTCCTGCACGTTTGAAGGATAAATCCACTCAATGGGTGTGTCCTGGACTTATTCCTTGGCAGATATAATGGAGCAAGTGGCCCTTTACTCAGTTGCCCAAATGCCCAAGTTTCCTTCTGGCTAGAGCTAATATAGGTTAATGTGGCATTACTTACAATTTTAGCCTGAAGTGAGAGGAGCACAACATTTAGATATGAAATGCAGTGAAGCAGTTAACTAAGCATCTCTCATGATCAGCATTCTCATTGGCAATAAAACCTCTTCAAAATACTTTCCTCACCAGGTTGAACTTCCATTGTGCGATGACTGATGGGTCATCAGGAGAAGAGGAATGTTTTGCAGGTGAAAGGCCCTGGGGAATGTAATACAGTTCCTACACACTTGTTAAGCAATGCAAGTCCCATTTATGGAGGCAGCATAAACTTGCATAGCAACATTTAATTGTACATAATTAACTTTACGGGCTGTGGTGGCTCAGAGGTTAAGACATTGAGCTGCAGACCAG